CAGTTGCGCCCACTCTGCCGTGTCACGGCAAAATCGAAACAGTTACATGCAATTTACACAATTGACACGAAATCGAAATTTGCATGCGAAAAAATTTGAATCTCGGAACAGCTCAATCTCGGACCGTTCCGAATCTCGGAACAGTCGGAACAGCCAAATCTCGGAACAGTCGGAACACTATGAATCTCGGAACAACCGCAACATTTGAATCTCGGAATGTTCCGAATCTCGGAACAGCCGGAACACGCGAATCTCGGAACGTTCCGACCAGTCTTTGTTCCGAAAGTTCCGAATCTCGGTCTGTTCCGAGAAACAACCCTAGTTTTCACTCTAAACCACTCGCGCTCTCTCTAAATCTCTCCTACTCACCCACTCACTCACTCTCACTCTTTCCCGCTCCCTCTCTTGCTCTCTCTCCCCTCTCTCTCTCTCTCTCTCTCTCTCTATCTCTCTCTCTCTAGCATCGTTTCTAGAAAACTGACCGCCCTCTTGAAGGAGACTCCCTGGGTACAGGTGGAAGGAGAAGAATTCGGGTATCTATATATATTTGTAATCCGTACAAACGAGCGATCGTAGCTGTTTTTATGACGAGGTGAGACCTCCAAATAACCAATGCTCTTCTCTCTTCTCTCTCTCTCTCTCTCTCTCTCTCTCTCTCTCTCTCTCTCTCTGTCTCTCTCTCTCTGTCTCTCTCACTTTCTCTCTTGATGTGAATTTGTACGTTAAAATTTTATTAAAAGAAAAATAACCGGGTCTACGAACACCCTAATTCAAAGTATATAAAATATAAAAACACAAAAAAATCTATGTAATGATTATCACAATCTGATTATTTTTGGGGAGGGAAATTCATGGAAATGGTCGGTGTGAAAGCTCATGCGAGATTTTGAGATCTGGGAAGAGAAGAATCATGGTAGAAAAACCGAAAATTTTTATTTTTTCTCTGGTTTCAATTGTTCAGGGTCCATACCACAGCTCGGGGCACAAAAACAGGAACAAATTAAGGGCGATTAACGACAAGAAAAATGATAGTGAGATCGTCTCCAGGCGGCGCAGGATGCGCTCCCAGAAACCCGTCAAAAACCCGCGGTGCCGCATCGATTCCTGTAAAAATACAAAATATAACATAAAAATCAAGATTTTGCTTAGATTTGATTCAAGCAAAATTGATTAAAAATTTTGAAAAATCATATGAACAAACCCAAAAATCAATTTTAGATTTAAATTGATAAATACAAACTTTCAAACCTGCTCCTTCTATAAATTTCAAGCAAAAAAATAGATTTTTCTAGAGTTTCGAAATCAATTAGCGATTTTTGTGACGTGATACAGCACGCAAATAATTTTGGCCATTTGCTTATTTTATCCTGCTTCCGCTTTGCAGGTCTTCAGAAAGAAAAGTAAAAAATGCAGCCCATACCTTAATTTGAATAATCTCCCGTATCAACTGGATAATGATGTCGAGGCGCTGCCTGGACTGGGCGGGGCCTGAAAAAACTCGAAATAATATTTCAGTAGATAAGAAGTGCGGTATTCGACCCATCGGGCCACTAGGTCTCGACTTCTACGAAATCCGATCAATCAGTTTTGTAGACACTTACCCTCTAGCAAAACTTCAGTAGTCAGTGGTTGGTCCTGGTTCAGCTCAGTAAAGTTGACCTAAAAGCACTCCTTGATAATTTCTGAGGATGGCTTACATTGTTCGGAATCAAATTCCGCATCAGTGTACTTTCAGGGGTGGAATGTCTACTAAATGCAGCAACATTGTTGTTCCTCGAGATGTCGTCGCCCTAGAATTACAAGGTAGAGACATAGAGCGAGAAAGCGAGAGATAAAGCAGGAGAATCCGCTTACTTTCGGATAGAACCGAAAATTCTTTGGTACATAGCAAAAGAAGAGCTTCTTGGCCATCAGAAACCGAAGGTAGGGTGGAACTGCCTAAAACGATTATTTTAGATCTGTATGGCTTCCGAAAGGGTCTTTTCAAGTTTGCACGTACCTGTATCGATGGGTTTTTCAAGGCATATTTCTCCAAGTGGACAAAAATTGATGTTGTACATGTTGCCACGCCGACGACGAGGATCAGCGTCATGTAGTAAATGCCTAAAAACAAGGACAGTATCGGGTTGTTGAAAAATCTATGCCAGCTTCTCTCCCACCCTTTCTCTCTCGCCCCCTCTTTCTCTTTCTCTCTCTCTCTTTCTCTCTCTCACTCTCTCTCGCTCTCTCTCTCTCTCTTTCTCTCACCTAACAACGGAACATCCGAAAATGAACCACGCTGCCCAGGTACACTCTCCATGGCGAACTTCATCTCCCCCACGAGCATCAACAACATGACGGACATCGACAGCAAGGTCATAATGCCTAAATCGAGCGTTCCTTGTCCTGCTCTTCCGTTTACCTAATCGAAATTTGCTTTCCCTCCTCCCGGTCGCGTTAATTGGAGCATGGAAGCCAATGACGGCGACCAGGGAGACGAGTGTCGTCGGGAAGACCAAGTTGAAGACGTAGTAGAAGCTCTGCCGTCTCAAATGTACGTTGATAGTGACCATCGAAAAGCTTTCGTTGTCGATATGCCGAATGGTGCCGTTGGATAGACTGGCGCCCATCAGGAGCCATTCCTGAAATCGGGAATTTTTGCGTTTAAGGGATGGCAGGTCGTGCTAGGCTTGTTCAGCTTCTGATGGGTGATTCTGATGGCATATAAAGCGCACAAAGCTAATTATGTTTCCGGAACTAATTTATGAACTGCGGCAAAAAGCGTAGATTTACACACGTTAAAAGAGCTATAAATAAGTTAAGGAAAAATCCGTTTAAAGGTATGACGCGTCGAGAATTTATAGCTGGAGTATGAATAGAGTTCGTCCAGACGATCGCATTTTTGAAGTTTTAATTTTTCAAGAAGCATATTTAAGTGCTATTTTGCTCAGGAAAAGCTCCTAAAGGTATTTTTTGTTCATAACCTCAAATAATACTTTAATTGTTCATTTGCGGAAACTTGTGCCCACCTGGTTATCAAAGAAATCACCCAAGTCCAGCTCCTCCTTCTCCACGATCAGCCTCACGACGTCGGATTGGTACGTCCACGAGCCGCACTAGAAATTATCGTATTAAATTGTAGCTTGGCTTTGCACAATGAAAAAATCGCTTTCGAGTAGAAACAGATTAAATTCCGCTCAGGCTCCAATTACCGGGTTCAGGGGCACATGCCGGCTTTACCAGACGCATTGCTGCATTGATAATTTCTTTGCAAAGTTTAAGCCGCTTATAAGTACATTTTCGGCAAGTTTCATCGCCGTTTTACACCTCGTGAAGTCATGTACACATCTTGGCCCCTCCTGAGCATTGAACGGGGTCCCCGAACCCCCTGCCTGAGACATGGGTAACGCTAAATTCAGAACCCGGCCAGCCGCAATAATCGTCGGTCAGTCAGCTGCGGGTGTGCTTGCCCCCAAATGTCCCACCACGCTGTTTTCTTCAAAACTAAACGTCGTCGAGGGGGGAACATAACGCTCTTTTTACACCCCCCTCGGCCCACGCGCGATTTTAGGAAGTATTTATGTTTTTATGTCTAGGTATCGCTCTCTCTCTCTCTCTCTCTGTCTCGCGCGCGCTCTCTTTCTCTCTCTCTATCTCCCTCTCTCTCTAGCGCTTTTCTATTGCCTAAACGTTGTCTGGGGTAGACATAACATAGTACGGATCCGGAAGAAAAACGGGTCGAGGAAGCACAATAATCGAGCCCCCTGCTTAAGCTGCGTATTTCTGATGCCTAAGTAATTATAGGCTCGTTTCTAAGCTTTGAATGCCATCTTGAAATCTAACTAAGCACATTTTGAAGCCACGTACAGCTGTCGAGACCTAGGGCATTTCATGGGGATTGATTTTAGTGCTTCCTGGTCCCTTTAAGTATGCGAAGAAAAATAAAGGCCTTTGGAAGGCAAAATAACTGCTTCTAGTTAGGAAAAGTCAAGTATAGAGTACACATTTTAAACCTTCGTAATTAAATACACAGTTTTTAGTCTAGTAAAGTCAAGCTTTTTATGTTATTCAGGCGAAAAAGAATTGAATATGCAATTTTTTTATCGTATTTTATTACTACCCTACATTTTCCAATCCCATTGGCCCCGTGCCAAAATTGCCAAAACCCACGGCAAGACCTCAAAAGCCAATCCAGACCCCCCACACACAACTTTCAAAACTCCCCGGTCAGTTATTATTCTCCAAGTGTCCAGCTTGGCCCCTATCTTAAGGCCCACCTCGGGGCCCAGCTGGTGGCCCTGTCTTAAATTTTAGTTCCCCTCGCATATGGACACGACAAAAGTGGCAATTGCTTCCGGGCCCTGGGCGCCCACTTGAGCGGCCGGCGGCCCATGCTGTTTTTCGAATAGCCCCAAAGGGCCAGTGGAACAAGTTGTACTTTTTGGGATTTGGGCTTGGTTTTCCTGGTTTTATCTTCACTTTAAGTGGTTTAGATGTCTGGTTATGCAAAACAGTCCTGTTTCAACTTTTCGTCTAATAAAAAATATAAAAATCGTAACCAGCCCCCCTCGAGGTAAAAGGAATTAGTTTCAAAATTTGGAAACTTCTGAAGCTCAGATTTTTTGTATACTATTTTTGAAGGCTAATTTGTAACACGAAGCGACAATAGACTGATTAGGGTTTTTAATGTAATATAAAATTTTTTTACAGTTGTTGGTTTGCTTTCCATTTTGTAATACGTTCAAGGGTATTTTCTTCTGTCTTTCCAATTTTTCGGGCTTTTTCTCCACTCTGCCCGTCATTTGCATAGGTCGTAAAAGTATCCCGAACCCTCTGCCTCCTGTCCAAAACGACTTCCGCTATTTTTCATGCTTTTTCGCTTTCTGGATCTCTATTACTCTATACTCTATTAAACTTGCAAAAATAAAAATCTTTGACATCGCCTCATATATGTTTTTTGAGAAGCATTTATTTTCAAGAATTACGAGGCATGAGGCATGATCAAATTTAGCTACCAGAAGATGCTAGGATGGCTGCTGACTGCCGAAATCCTGAATTTCTGCACTTTCCTTAATGCACAGATGATCAAGCCGAGCGGTATCGATCGAATTATTGGAATTGAGACTGCACCTACGCAAATGATTATTACTACTACGAAAGAAGGTAAGCTCTCTCTTCCCCCCCTCTCTCTCGCTCTCTCTCTCTCTTTCTCTCTCTCTCGCTCTCTTTATTCCAAAACATGAACTGCAAAACCTGGACTTCAGGGCCCACTGAGCAGTTGAGCGTGAAAATCGAGGTCACCGACTTGCAAGACCACCGGATATTTACGCCAATTTCGTTGAATGGATTGTTTCTATTAATAAGCCGAGGTATCTTGGGTTCTACGAGCTTAATCGTAATTTTGAGAAGTTAAAATGAATTTTTCTAGGTCGGTATACCGTACCCTTCCTCCGGCCCGATCACTTCTACGGCGTCTACTTCCAAAGTGAGAACACTGTAAATGGCGTCCGAATGTTCCACAACGAGACGAGAATCGTGAAAACGATGCCGAGACATGGAGAAAATACGACGAACAATTTTGTGGATCCTAGATTTGAGGTAAGCGAGAGAGCGAGAGAAAGAGCTAGTGCCAGAAGCCACATTTTCGAACTAGTGCCCTAAAAAATTGATTCATAAGGTGTCATTCATTATGTTGCTATTCATCATTCAGCTATCACATGCTGCTAGTTAGAAACTTTCTCTTTTTTTTGTCTATATATATTTCTCATTTTCAAGAGTTCTAGCCAACCCTCACCAGCCTATTCCATTTCAACAATTCCACCAAAAACCCGGCCGATTTGGTCGTGGTAAAACAGGTAGAGAGAGAGAGAATGAGAATGCGATGAATGGATAATTTTTTAACTACGGAATGGCATGAGCAACTGATACTAATAGTATCATTTAAGGTTACAGACGCCATAATATTTCGTTTTTTAGATCTACGTGCATCGAAACGATGAGAATGGGGGCAGCAACACCGAGGGTGTTTTTGTGACAATCAAATGGCTGACGGAGAGGAGGTAGGAGAGAGAGCAGAGCGAGCGAGTGAGGAGAGAGAGAGGAGAGAGAGGAGAGAGAGAGAGAGAGAGAGAGAGAGAGAGAGAGAGAGAGAGAGAGAGAGAGCCGTAGAGGGCGAGGAAGAGAGCGAGAGTGATAGCGCAAATCAAGCCATTTTTCAGAATTCCTGGAAGCTTCCTCTCGATAAAAATCCGAGTCCTATGCGAGCATACCAACGCGACAGAAAACGTCCATTTGAAGGATACTGAAGCCGGGATCACATTGGAAATCGCGGTATGCAAATTAGCAAAATAATTAAACTAGTTCCAGATGGACCACAAAATGGACGTCGAGGATATGGAAGAGAATTCCCACCAAATCAAGGCTAACATCTCGCCGTTGAAATGCAGGGAGTGGGTTTTTAAAATTAAACGCTGCCGGAACTTAAAATAGGTTGGTCAATATTGAGTAGTTTCGAAAAAGCTTTGAGTGATTTTTCGAAAAGTTTGACGTCTGAAAGCCAGTCTGAATCCTTAAAATTCGGCTAGAATAGAAGTTGGTATTTTTGAAAACGAGCGGCTTTAGAGCTTTTTCAAAAATTACCTATCGTCCGTTTAATTTAAACAAATAATAAAAAGCTATGACTATTTTGTTTTAGAATCTGCTGGGACGTCGACTACGTGCTACCCGTCCTGAGCCGAAACTTCACGCGAGAATTTAACAGAACCTGCGAGAAAATTGAGGGCACCACGACGACTACCTTTGTCAGGGAACTGAAGTCTTATAAGGTACAAAACATTGCCCAAAAATTTTTTTTTGGATTTAGGTGGTCGGAAATACGCTCTACGTCCACACTGAAATCCCAGAAAATCAGGCCGATCACGGTGTGGTGACGTTGAGCGCCCAAAACTTGGCGGAGAGCATGGAGGAGCCGATTTTTAAGGAGTATCAGTGAGTTTTGGGGGCCTACTGAGTGGGTGAGAGCGTGAGAGAGAGCAAGAGAGCAAGAGAGCGAAAGTGAAAGAGAGAGAAGAGAGGAGAGAGAGGAGAGAGAGAGAGAGAGAGAGAGAGAGGGAGAGAGAGAGGGAGAGGAGCGAGAGGGCGAGGGAGCGAGAACGAGAGAGTCATCACTAGAAAGAAAGAGAGGGAGAGCGCGCAAAAGTGAGAGAGAAAGGAGAGAGAGAGAGAGAGAGAGAGAGAGAGAGAGGGGCGAGTTAGGGCGAGCAGAGATGGAAACCGAAATATCCCGACAACGAGTATGCCGACAAGCCAAAATCAAGATGCCTACAGTCCCGACAGGCAGAATCCCGACACAGAAAGCTCTCTAAAACAACCCGTAATTCAAGCTAACGTCAAAAATATGCCGAAATTTTTGATTTCGGCATTATGCCTGTCGGAATTCTGTTGAAAAATTTTGGTTGGAATTCATGAAGAATAAAAAATATAAAACAAACTCTACTATTTTGCAGGGTCGCCTCAACCCCAAACGGCACCTTCATGCTCCAACTCGAAGAAGGAAACGCCTACGCGATCACGTACAAATACATCAAGGCCCTCCCGTTCAAATATTCTACTAAAGATCACTTTATGGTCGAGATTCCCGCCTTGAAAAAATCCGGAAATTCCTCGAAGGAAGAGCTGGACTCCGGGAATCTGGTCGATTTCGTAGTCGACCCTCCAATTCTGAACATCACCTCAGAAGGGGAATTTGTCGAGACCCCAAAAATCTCCCTCGAAATAGGCCCAAAATACGCCGGGCAAAACGTTTCCTTAAAAACCGAGGATTTCTGCGGGAGCACTATAATTAAGGGAAACCGCGTGGATTTCAAGAAACCGGCAGTGCCCTTGGAATTACCACTAAAGAAGATCGTCTGTGGGCTTGAGAAGAATCTGACAATGTGTCAAAATGTAACGAGTAGCTGTGCGGACACCAAATTCTGCTATACCCCCACCGTGTTGAGGGAAAATATAGCTTATGAGGGCCCCAGAAAATGCATCGATTTGGCGCGAACGCTGGAGTATGAGGTGGCGAAGCAGGCGAGCAGGATATTTTCCTGGCTTTTGCAATTTTTGATAGTATGGATTGTGAATACGCGGTAGTGGTGGAATAAAGAGAGTTCTATAGCTCGAGTTGAGCCCACGTGAGAGACAGAGAGAGGAGAGAGAGAGAGAGAGAGAGAGAGAGTGAATTACCGCTTCCCTTTTTAAAGTTTATACTAATTATCGGATGTTTTTGCCAAAATTTAAATATTTAGAAAAGTGCAAAATTCGCGTTTTGCGGCTTAGTAAATTTTCATAGCGTAAACGATTGGCCAAGCAGAGTTTTTTTTGGTAAATCCTCTTATTAGATGGTTTTTCGGCCTCTTTTCAGACATTATCATGCAACAAAATACCGTATCTAAAAAATTTTGCGAATAAAAAAGGACTCACATAAAAACTGCAGTTCTGCTCGTCGAACGGCATCATCTTGACGTTGACCGGGCAGAGGGATCGTGCTGTGATCGGGACGAAAATACGGACGCGCCCGTCGTTTCGGACCTAGAATCGGGCAATTTGGATGCCAGAGGAGCCGTTTCATGTAATTCCGAACCAGCCATTCGCTTACGACGCCAAAATCAAGAGGCATGCTCAAATCACCACGTTTGATAGTACTATTATACGCTAGAAAATCGTACCTCAGCTGTCGCATCCGATGCGTAATCCGGGGTCCGCCCTTGGACACTGAATCCCGCATTTTTTAGGAAAATCCGAGCTACCTATGATACATATAAAACTCTGGCTTCCACAGCCATCGTATTGGAATAAAGATTTTTGTCAACGTCCCAAAATCGGTCTCATTCCACCCAATGTATTCATCGATCCACCAAGCATCGATATAGGCGGATATCGTGGCTAGGTTGGAGCGTTGGTCCTGGAAAATCTGGTTCTCATCGCGCTCTCTCTCTCTCTCTCTCTCTCTCTCTCTCTCTCTCTCTCTCTCTCTCTCTTGTTGTCTCTCTCTCAACTTACCAAATCCACGATTTGATACAAATCTGCCCGGACGTGGACTTCTACCATTTTTCGAGGGTATCGGACTGGTAGGTGGTAGGGCCGTGCCTGAAATTTGGATTTTGGAAGGGGATAGAGAGAGAGACAGCGAGAGAGAGGGAGAGAGAGAGAGAGAGAGAGAGAGAGAGAGGAGCGAGAGACTAACCCGATGCTTAATATAATCCGCCAGCATCCCATGCAAATCGACGCCCTCCTCGATGACGGCCTCTTCTGAAGATTCGAACGGGGTTCCCCGTCTCATTTGCACAATTTGCACTGGAGATCGGGACGTCTTCTTGGCGACGAAAGCTGGAAAGGTAGGATTAAAGGGTCTTTTATCGTAACATTTCTATTTTCTTAACTCTATTTCCGATTGTACATACTTTGTTTTGCACAGTCCAGTTCCTGGCGAATTTTCGAAAGTAGGCTGCTTTAAACGCTGGTCACTACAGATTGTTGCAAGCCCCGCCCCATAAAATGAGAACTATACACTGATTGTTTATCTTGAAATTGCCTAAGCAAATTTGCTGATTCTCATCAAGCCTGAACGCTACGCTCCAAACCACACACTCCTTTGGTTAGCTAGAATGCTTCAAAGTTTCAAAAACCAACGAGGCATTTAGAAAACAAAGATTATTTAATTCCCAAGTGAACTGTTACTGCTAGCCTGCCAAATTGGTTGTGAACGCTGTGCACCAAATTACGCTTTATTTCATACCTTTTTTGTTATGAATCTCCAACCCCAAATTCCGCCAGATTCCGGTCCACACGCTATTTGCCAACCACTTCCCCCAGAGCAGCGGATGTCCCGCGCAAAAAAAATGATGGAAGTAACTCGAAGCCCCTCGGACAACGGGCTGACCCAACACACACAACCCATCGTTTTCCCTCTTTAACCCAAATTCTAATGCTATTTTGCACGCCCCGAAAAAACCCTCGTCTGCCAGTGTCCAGTGGAATGGAGCGGAACTCCAGAATTTTGGGCGCACGCGAAATTTAATATCTATAGGAATTTCGGTGGGCATCTGCATCAACAAGACCGTATTTTCGGGCAAGTGGGAGGTTATAAAATGGCAAACTACTGTGTTGTTTTGGAAAATACTGTTTTGAAGGTATTTCCGCAATATTGAGGTAATTACGAGCCTTTATACACTAGCCAGCTAGCAGAAGGCATTTGAGAATTCGAATTTAATGACAAGAAATACATAATTAATTCAAAACAAAAATAATTCATTTTTCGGGATGTTCCGATTTTCTAACGCAATTCTGCTGGGAAATAGCTAGCAAACACCATTTAGGAATTTGATTTTAAATTAATTGGAGACCGTATGCTTCTAATTAGAGTACCCTTTTGCTTCGATCCAACTAGGGAAGCTAACAAGCCGGAACCTTTTAGGATATGTAGCAAAACGAGGAATAACTAACAAATGCCCCTTTGGGAAGCCGAATTGGCACTCGAAGCCCAGGAAACTATCAAAATCCCTTTGCGGAAACGCCGATTTTTTTAACAATGTAACAATTCCCCCAAATTTGCGTTCTTTAAAATCCAGTCCCCTTCAAAAATCAGCCTTTTGAGCTGGGCCACTCGACCGGCTAGCCACATGCCCTTTGAAAAGAAAAAAAAATGCTTTCAAATGCAAGGCACGTGTACGGAAGGCTGGTTTTGCCCTTTTTGTGAATTTTCGAGACAGAGGAATGCATGATTTGGGCACAATCTCTCTCTCTCTCTCTCCTCCCTCTCTCTCTCTCTCTCTCCCTTTCTTTCTCACTCTTACTCTCCCACCTCTCTCGCGCTTTCGCTCGTTTGCCCTAACTCTATCATCCTCTCTATCTCTCTCACTCTCTCTCTCTCTCCTCTCTCTCTCTCTCTCTCTCTCTCTCTCCCTCCGGTCCCAAGTGATCTCTGCTAGCCCCCCCCCACTTTATATAAACCAAGAAATTCCGGAGAGCCAATTCTATCTAGGACGATGATCTGATGCCTGGAATAGGCCATCCCGTTTTTGCCCCCAAAGAGCAAAAAGCCATAGGGGGTGAGGAGGAGGCATTTATGTGTGCGTATCCTGGAGGGGGTTGACGCGGAGGCGCATCTCGGGACCGCTCAATAATGCTCCCAGGGGATTTGTGACGCCGCGCACCGCCCTGGGTCGTCTATGCTAAAGTGGGAAAGATCGGGCTCACACCCTGCTCATCGTTTAACTTAAAAAGACTAGAGATGAGAAAAGACTGCAAGGGCTAGGTCGCGACAGCTACCAGGATGTCAAAATACACGTGGCAGCATTCAATATTTCATTAATATCACGACTTTCGGGTCCTTAAAATGAGCTACAACATGTTTTGGCGCCGCTCGTAGCCTCGCAACCCAGTGCTTTGGAGTTGTCTATTTTAACCTTATAGACCTCTTTTAAGCGGATCGGCTGGGCGCATGTTCGTATTTTGGACCATGAACCCCAACTTGTGCTTTTTTTCTTTTTTGAATTTTGTCACGCGTCGTCCCCCCGCGTATCCAGGGCTCCTGGCCCATTCAAACGAAGCTATACACGCTTTGGCTTGTGCGTAGGCGATGCGAAAACCGCAAAGGAAGCCGAAAGAAGCCGACAAATGTGTTTTTTTGCGTGGTACGCCGAAAAAGCGGGTGGACTCGGGAAGCAGGCCGGGATGTCTGACTCGGGGAAAGCGACTTCGGCGAGTTCAAGCTGGGTCAGACCTGGGTGGCTATATCTGCCTTCGACTAAAGGATATTTCGATATGGAAGGTCCGGTTTCGTTGAAAATGGCTAAATTAAAGCGCCTATGCGTACAAAAATTCAGAAAAATTCTTTTTTTTTGCGGGTCAACCCAAATTTGCTTTCGTTTCGTGTTCAGGTCAGCTTTTCGCTTTGCTCCAAAAAGAAAGGCCGTTCCCAGAAAATTCTACTTAAAATAGACCCAAAAACAACCGCCCAGCTGACGGGGCACGTGCCTTTAACCCTTTTAACCCTAATGACTTGAAGGAGAAGGGGCAAGGAATGGTCGCCCGTTCGACGATTCACTTTGGGTTGGTACTTTCACGGAAGTTAGGCTCGAGTAAAAAAGGCAGGGGCACTGAAAACAGGAATGAGAAAAAGCATGCCTAAATGCCCCCACCCCCAAAAAGACGAGGCAAACCTAATTGCTCACGACTTGAAATAAAACGTAAAAATATGTCTGGTCGGAAATTTGGAATGGAAGCAGAGTTCTAGTGGCAAATTACGAAGCCAAAAGTCGCACGAAGATCTGGTCGTCGCAGAAATCACCCGGAATTGCCTTAAAAATGACAAAACCAAAGAGGCCGCAGAGCAAGCTCAAATCTTTGAGGAAATCTACACGGCGTTTGGTGGTATTTTAGGTAATCCTCAAAGGCTTCCAAAAATCGCTTAATTTTGCCTCCGCGGGTTTTTATGGTTAAATTTTAGGCTGCCTGCCGTTTTTTTAGTTATTTTCCTGCAAATCGAGCTTTCTCAATTTCCTGTTTTTTCTGCCACCGTCAACGATGAATTTTTCCCGGGCCCCCAATTTGTCACACCAACGGGTCGGCGTGGCCCGGAAATTCAAGCACGATTAGGTGGCGGAAATCGGAGAAGCTTGGGAACGGGCGTGTGGCGAGGGACAAAACGTGCCCCAGGAAAGGGCTGGGCAATTTTTAAGGGACCCGAAAGTCGTGAAAGCGAGAGAGAGAGCGAGAGAGCAAGCGAGAGAGAGAGAGAGAAAGAGAGAGAGGGAGCAAGTTGTTGAAAATTTAGCACTTACCCTCGACCTGTAGCGCCCGGAGCAGCAGAATCACAAAATAGGGGAACCCGCGCATCGTGGAGAATCTGAAAAACACTGAGATTTGCATAAAGCGTCGTTGTTCATAAGAATTCGAGAAAAGAACATAAGAAATCAGGATTAAAGACGAAAAGAATGATAACGAAAGAGAACAGCAAAACGAAATACTTTCGATTCACCTAGAAAACATCAAAATCTTTAATTTTCCTAATTTTTCTCTTATTCAAAGTTTATTTTTGCATATTAAGGAATTTGAGTACTATAAAGAAACACTTAAAAACCAAAAATTCCTGAAAAATTGAAAACCAGACTTTGTAGAACTAAAAAGGACATTTACGCGTTAGAAAAAAGCTGAATATTATTTTACAATTGTTAAATTAAGGCATATGCCTTCATTTTTCTATTGCTCACGTTTGTAGAATTTCTCTTCCGAAAAATATAGAGTTACTCTACTGCTCCGGAACGAGGTGAGACAAATGAGTGTGGATTAGTATTCAGCCCAGGGGCCGTTTTTTTGCCAGGAGCGGCTATAGAAAGCGTGCGGCAAAAATATGAGCGGATTAGCCATCAGCCAGTGGCAGAGGAGAGGCAAAAGGGACACCGCGGCTTCTTATGATATTTTCCTGGGACTCCTGCGTGCTGGCAGTGGAATGGAAAAACGGGAAAACAGGATATCGTAGCCTCCGGACAGGAAAATGTGAGAATTTGGAAATTAAAAATTGAAAATCATTTTGCAGGTTTCTTGGGAGCCAGCAAAAAAATTGAACAGCGTCGTCGTGAGATCAAAAATTAAAAGTTGTTCGGAAAACGCCGAATGAGCTGGATCATTTAAATACCGACAATGCAAAAGTTCACAATTCTAAACTAATATACGAAACGCAAAGAAACAGATTTTTTAAATTAAAACATCGAAAGTGTCAAATGTCTGAAGTCCAATCCCAGGTAGCTTAAGGCAAAATCCCGACAAATAATCCCGACGCCCAGGATGCGGACCAAACGTCTGTAAAATCGCGAAGATTCAAAACACCGGCAGCCTACGCATGAATAGCGCTGAATTCGATTATAATTTCCGTTCAAGATCCCAACCACCCCCCATTAAATTTCTCGATTTCTAGCTATTTTCGGGTGTGGTGGCGGTAAGTTTTTCGTGTTTTTCTGCGTCCCCGCCATTCCACATCCACATCCATCCGTCGCAGACCCGGGTCTATTGGCTTACACTCCCGGGGATTTCTGCTTGGAAGCAAAGGGGAGAAGGGGGGAGAATGGGCTGGAGGACGAGGCGTGAAAAACGACCACATGGCCCCTGTTGGATGGCCGTTTCGAATGGAAGGTGTTGGAAGGGGGAATTTCCGGGGTTATAAATGGGGGATTAGCGTGGAGGTGACGAAGATTGAGGGACGGTTTTTAGCGAGTTTAATTAATAAAAAAAATGGATAAAGCGTGGTTAAATATGCCCATTTTGCAAATTCTCTTGCAATCGGCAGTGCTTAAAAGAGACGGTCAATGTTATAAATTTACTATTGTCTTTACATAAAATATCCGGAATGTTAGATGCTCTAAAAATACAAATAGAATCAGCTCCGTGCTCATCGATTTGCAACACTTTTTCTTGAAAATTTGGTCTCATTTTTAAACGAATTTTTGCAGAAAAAGGTTAATTTCTCACGCTCTTGAAAATCCACGCTTATTCGACGTAAATCAACTTCAACTAATGACCTTTTCTTTTTAAAACTTGTAGATGAACCAAACCCCATGTTTTATCGTTTGGCATAAAATCTTTTTTTACAAAAATTAGGAGACAAATATAAAAATTTATAGGATCAAGAGAGTAAAAATAAGTGTATGTCAAGAAATTCTGTACAAATGTTAACTTGTACGTCACAGTAAGACCAAAAAAAACGCTAAAACCCCAAGTGAATAAAAAAAGCGCAGCCTTGAATTTTGCAAACTAAGAGAATCTTTTCTTTTTTTGCATATCCTACACTAATTCCGTAGTAATACGAAGCTTGTCATCAAAATACTAAACTTTTGAGGCCACTTGATCACGCATTCAGCGCATAAAAGGGCTAAATGGATGAAGCGGAGCCACATGCCAACACGGAGGCCCTCGTGAAAAGTCTAGAAACACCAGCCGGGGTGGCAGTAAATTGGCGGTGCCCAGCCGGCCCAGCAAAATCACATAAAATCCGGCCAAGTAAACTCGGTGGCGCCTGGGCCACAAATCGGATTGGCGCTCAAGCCAATGTGGTGTTTCTTTGAGAGGTAAATGGGAGAGGGCGTTCGTGAATGGAAAACAATGGGTACAATTTGAGGAGCCGCTGAGAATCGTCGTTTTTGAATAATTTTGTAGTTGGTATGAAGCTCCAAGGGAAGAACATTTATGCAGACCAAAAAGTTAAAGTCAATTCCGTGATCCGGAGATTATCAAAGAATGATGTCAAAAACCTATGAAATTCAAACTTAAACTCAAAGCTTCAATTCAAAATAATTCAAAGAAACTCAAAAACTTGTCGAGTCCGCAACTCCGGTTGCCGAAAATTGGTTGTTTTTGCATAATTTTTTATTGATTAAGAAGCGTACTTTTAAAATAATAAATACGAGAAGCTGAAGGATTTGAAATCAACGTCCAAGAAAAGGTTAAAACTAAGGTTTACACTTAAAAAAAATTTTTTTTGTTAAATTGTCTGTTCCGCCAAAAATCTGTACCACAGAACTTTTTTGGCGGACGCTAAAGGCTTATTTTTCAGGTACAGGCTAGCGAGGAAATTTTCAAAGAAGAAAAGCTTCGGCGGCCGATCTATTTACAGCTACAAATGTTCGTAAAATTCTAGGACCGGTCTTCTGAAGCTCTTATGAAACAGTTGATGTTAGCTTTTGAGTTCATTGAACACGACAAGGAAGCGGCAGCGTTAACCATATTCAAAAATTATCTCTTTTTCTTTTTTCGACATCTTAAGGGGACAGTGACACCTGAAAAGCTCAAGGAGCCTCAAATAGCTCCGTGCATGACCGGGAAGTAACAAAAAAATCTTCTCCAGGTTAGTGTCACGCGCCAAAATCCAAAATATCCCAATAGTATTTTTTACGGTAGACATGCAAATTGACCACGCCTACAATGTGAATTCCAAAAACGGGGTTTTTGGTGTTTTTAAAGGGACCGTGGCACCTGAGAAAGCACAAGAATTCTCAGATATCCCCCGAAATTGACCGGAAGCAACAAACGTGCCCTTCCGAATAGGTGCCAAATGCATGGCATGGGCCAGATATGTGTGTGGAGACGACCTGGTGGCAGAGTCATGACTGGGCCCCTGGTTGTGGCGTGCAGAGAAAGGGGAGGGCAGGAAGGGGGGAAGGAGAAGGGCCCCCTGGGGACACACCGGGCCCTCGACTCACAGGGCCCCCACCACACCAACACGGCCCTGGGAGACAAGGCGGGCAAGCTAGGGGGGAGGGCCATACGAAGCCGGCTGGCCAGGCTTTAGACGGGTCTGGGCGTCGGGGGACACCCTTTGTTGGGTTTTTTTTTGAGGAGACACCGGAAATCGAAGCGGAAGCTGGCTTCCTGGTTCCTTTAAAAAATCAAGTTAAAGGGAAATTATGGTTTTAAAGTTACTAGGACGAATTCCGACCTGATTTGCGGGTGGGAAAACGACAGATTACACTATGAAGAAACCCGAAGCGAGGTCGTGCTCAAAAGCGGGAGCAGTGCCACCAATTGACAGAGATTTTCCCTCTCTAACAAAAAACCTAGATCATTCCTTTAAAAGCTGGCAAACAACCCGTATTTAAATTTCCATATAGCGAGTGTGATTTGTCCGAAATCTTCCGTTTCGCTGATTCGGTAAGTATTTCCGGTTATCGTGCTTATCTTAAAATCCATCGAGGAATTTGCTTGGACCGTACAGAATATACCAAATTCATTTGAAGGTAAAAAGCAACTAATCAGGCCCAAAATGGACCCCCCTTCAGTGGCTAAGTGTCGACAGCCACGCCTGGCCTTTTCCGGACCTGAACCACAACCAAACTCGTCAAACAACGGCTCCATTTCGAACTCGCTGAAGTTGGATTGCGTATAAATGGCTAAACAAACACCAAGGATGCGCCGAGTCCGACTCAAACCGGACGACAACTCCAACTCCCCAGAATCCGGATGGCAGCTAGAGAGGTGGGCAGTTCCACAGCGTTTTGAAGTCGGAAAATCAGTTAGAAAATCTTATAATTAAAGAAAATCCGCATCGCGTACGCCAAAAACCCGCCGGACGCCTTTTCGAACTGTCGACATTTTCCGACGTTTACGCCTACAGTACCTTGCGCTTTTCCGGGATGGACTGTAGAGGTGAGAATCAAAAACTGTTTTTTTCGCTCTTGCCTTCTCTCTCGCTGTCAATCCTTCTCTCTCTCTCTCTCTCTCTCTCTCTCTCTCTCTATCTATCTATCTCACTCTCTCTCTCGCTCTCTCTCTCTTATTTTCTCTAGATCATGAGCCAAATCACTTCCTACGCCGGCTTCGACATTGAGCCAGTAGTAGCCAATAATGTGATCGGAAGCTTGGACTGGGGCACGCAGTTGGTAAGTCAGGTTCCTAGTACGTCTTAAAGGGGTGGGGACATCAAGTCACGTACGTGATGTAAGGCTTGGGCTTAGGCTTAGGTTAGGCTTAGGCTATGGCTGAGCTTAGGCTCAGGCTTAGGCTTAGGCTTAGGCTTGGGCTTAAGCTATGGCTGAGCTTAGGCTTAGGCTTAGGCTTAGGCTTAGACTTTGGCTTAGGCTTAGGCTTAGGCTTAGGCTATGGCTGAGCTTAGGCTTAGGCTTAGGCTTAGGCTTAGGCTTAGGCTTAGGCTTAGGCTTAGGCTTTGGCTTTGGCTTTGGCGTTACAAGGCGTCGTACGTTATCTTCGTTTTTTATTCAGAAAAACGGCTCCTGGGTCGGCGTCCTGGGAATGCTAGCCAATAACAGTGCTGATGCGGCTTGTCTGATGTACCAGATGACCGATCTCAGGGCCGAATATTTCGATTTCTCGTATCCGGTGACAAATGTGGGTTCAGAAATAGATTAATTTGGAGACCGAAAAATATACTATGATTCTAAAACTTGAGGTTCAACCAATTTACGCTGTACAGGCGCGGAAAGCCGACATCGGATCGATCTTGTGGAATGCTTTCAAGGTAGAGAGAGAGAGAGAGGGAGAGAGAGAGAGAAAGAAGAGAAAGAGAGATTGAACTGGTTGTTCGGACTTGAACGGAATTTCTTGGTTTCTATAAAGTAGGGCGCGGGAGGCTAGCGGAGAATCTTTGGGAGTGAGGGAGAGCGAGACAGAGAGAGAGAGAGTGAGAGAGAGAAAGAGAGAGACAGAGAGCGAGAGAGGGAGAGCGAGCCAAACCCTATTTTCAGCCCTACTCCACCGTCACCTGGCTGTTCATCCTCGCCTCATTTCTAGTCCAAACGCTATATTTGGTCGGCATCACCAAGGTCGAGAAGCATCTAGGTTTCCGGCATCGCTTCCGGCCTTTTGAAGTAAGCAAGCTTCGTCTTCTCTTATATTTTACTGCATTCAGGTATTCTGGCAATGCATCCAGCTGCAACTCGACGAGCACAGCGAGGATATGCGCTTCAATACCCTGGCCGGCAATATAGTCATGTTTTTGTTTGCTTTGTTACAGGTAAATGTTACAGGTAAATTCAACTTTTATTTTGCATCGTTTTAAGTCGAGCCTACTGATAAAACTCTATGAAGGTCTGCTACTTTCGGCTCTCCTGGCCCCGGTTGATGATAATCCGTTCAAGTAAGCGACCTATCTGGTTCTCTCTTTCTCTCGCTGTCTCTGTCTCTCTCGCTCATTCTCTCACTCTCACACGCTCTTTCTCTCTTACTCTCTCGATCTCGTTTTTCAGGGATGCTGATGGACTAATAGCCTTGATCGCTAAAGGAGAATATCATCTGGTGACAAATTACCTCGGAAATTGGTATGAGAACTTGCTATATTGTTTTTATACAGTTCTATATTGATTCTGATTGTTTAAGGTACTTTGATGATATGCTCCACTCCAACGCTGCTCATTTTGTCGCTCTTCGTGCCGCAGTCGCCAATAATCCAGTGGTAACCGCGCCTACTGTAGCCGCAGCACTGGATATGGTGGAGAGCGGTAGGCGGGGGGAGAGAGTGAGAAAAACCTAGAGAGAGAGAGAGCGAGAGAGAGAGAAAGAGAAAGAGAGAGAAAGAGAGAGAGAGAGAGCGAAAGATTTTAGGCCCCTACGTTTACCCAATGCAAGTCGACAGTCTGGCTATGCAAATGAGCAAGGAGCGCTGTAACTTGGTGTACGTTAGCGATGGTAAGTGCAAGCTCATGCTCAAGCTGCTGCCGGGACTTAGACTAATGGCTTCTTTCAGGTCTGCCCCAAGTCGGCGCCTACATCGTCTTCCAAAACCAGAGCCGCTTCATCAAAAACATCAACAGGGCGATTATCATGAGCCAATCAATGGTGGAGCATACTTTTAAGTAAATATTGTTATTTAAAACGTTTTGATCGATCAAACAAGTCAAAAAGGATTATGACCGTGATTGATTTGCAGCAAATACTTTGAGATGGGCTACAAAATTGCCAACATCCCGAAATGTCCCACTGAAGTGTTGGATACCGCTACGGGGATTATATCGAAGCCGTTGGGTTGGTTTTTCTAGCTTTCCTATCGTAATTTTCCAATTAACGTACTGACACTGGTTCTTAAATTCTATTAACAATATTTTTAATGCTGAGACTTTTTAATATCGAAAGCATTCCAGACCTCGCAGCAACTGTCGGAATATTTACCCTCGGCGCCCTGGGCATCGCGATTTCGCTGATCACATTTTTCGTGGAAATTTATATATTTTTGCATAATAGGCAAGTTAAGAGCAAGCTTTAATTAGTTAAAATTAATTGGAATAGTTTTTACCGCGTTTTTAGAGTTTTGGACCGCCATCGTCGAACCCGGCAAGCCCTGGCTAGCAACTTATTGGCGCTGGGAAAAATTTACTTCACCGAGGTATATTAGAACTTCTACAATTATCATGGGGAAATTTAGTATAGTTTGTCTCTCGTTTGACGGAGAACCACAGTAATTTAATACGCAGGGCTACAAACCACAACTTCTTCCAGGTGCATCACGGTGTAGCTCTCACAAGGCTGATCGATGTTATCGAAAGATCGATGGAACAGGACGAGCAGCAAATTGTGGAAGATCGAGGGAATGCTGAACGCTGAATATCTTTGACAAGGTTGCTTAATTAGAGTTATACAATACCTGCATTTACCGCTAATAAAATCACCTTAACAATTTTATTCAAAACACCAAGCGCTAAACAAAAAATTAAATACAAATATGAATTAGGTACACGAAGCTAAGGTAATTATAGTAGCTTAACAGGAAGCCATGGCCCTTTGCACCATCCACGTAATGTCGAAACACCAGCACTGACCATATTCCGGCTCGTTAAGTTCTTGTCTCCAGGTCAAGAAGGGTGCTGAATCTAGAAAAATTCGGAAATTTTTAATTTTTTTATTAAAAAATTAAAAAACCTGAAAAATGAAACATCACTTCAGGGGTGAAAAGCATATGGTAAGCATTTTTAAAAAAATCCGTAAAATTAAAGTTCTAAAAAGCTTCATCGATAAATTCAAAAATCATTTTTCCTAAAATATGATAATTTTTAGACGTACGGACATCCATAATAGGAATTTAAAGTTTAAAACCAGCCTTTGACCCTCGAAAGCCTCCCGCTTACCGGGCTGGCTGACATATACGGATGGCCGGTCAGCTACCTTCTTGGGCTCGGGCTCACCCACTGGAGCAACCGGGATCTTTTTTGAACTTGTTGATGATGCACGCCTTCAGATCTCGGAGGTGTCGCCAATCATTGCCCATATAATCCGAAGAGTTCAAGGAGTTCAGAGAATTTTTTTTGAGTTGGGGAATTAAAGTAACGTTTCGTCTTCCTGTCTCTTCTTGGCCGACAGACTTCTTCTGCGTTTTGATATCTTATCACTTGCCAAATAGCCCCGGGGCTTTAATGCCAGCTGCTTGAGAATGCCGAAAATTTAAATTAACAGCAAATTTAGTAGAAAAATGCAAGGAATGCGTTTTCGTATTTTCTTTTTCTAGTTATATCAGAAAACTCCAAAAAAGGGGAAATTTGGCCAAACTCAAAAATTTGTAGACTAATTCCCCAGGGCTTTAGAAGTTTTTTTGTGTTTTTTCGCCATGTCCAATGTATTTTCTGCCAATATTCCAATATTTTTGTTATTAACAGATTTATTTGCACTTCAGTATCATCAGTAACATATCCTTTTTTGTACATTTCAAGGCTAACAAAAACCCGGACATTTGGACTCGAAATGTATTGAGGTATACAATAAAGTAGAGGGACGTATTCGAATCGACGGAATGGTGGCGTGGGAATTAAAATTTTTGCATAGTGACAAAAGAGATCACAAAATGGTATTTATATTATGGCGAGAGAGAGCGAGAGAGAGAGAGAGCGAGAGAGATAGAGAGCGAGAGAGAGAAAGAGAGATAGTCGTTAATACTGAAGGACGACGGGTGAATACTTATCGTGGTTGTGCAGTATCTGTAGCTTCCAAAAAATTGAGGCGCAGAAGGTGTAAAATCTTCTGCTTCAGCTTCAGCGTCTACTGTGAGTCCGGGCTGAGCAGGAGGGCGAGCCTGGAATTTACACTTTTAATGAATACTCGTTTTAAGGAGATTGAAAAATTTTAACCTTATTCAAAAAGTATCGTATTTTGCTATCCTCATATATGCAAATTTGATCACTTGAAAATGGCAAGGTATGAGTTAAAACGTTGAAAATTACCGGAAACGAATTTTTTATTTCTATTTCATTTATGAGGTTTTGAAAACTTTTGATTTTCTAAAACTTAAAAGCTAAAAATGTCACTAGTTCTGAAAACTTTTTTTGAAAAATTTCTGAAGTTAGGCATAGCTAATTCGCATATGAAAATGCGAATTAATTCCTTGATCCTAAGATTATCAAAAACCCTCACCTCTTCGCCTCCATTCCGTCAATGGGCCGCTGGCAGTGGCAATTCGCGGGGTCGAACATCCGGGTGACAGACGCCCAGCGGAAGTCCCTCAATTTTGGCCAGCAGAAGAAGGCCATTTGGCCCGCCCTGCAAATTGAAAGTGAACATGGTTTCGGAACAACATCTTTTTGGTGTTTTTGGTCAATGGGAAAGCGTAAACAAGAGGAAGAGAGCGAGAGACACTGAGAGAGAGCGAGAGAGAGCGAGTGAGAGAGCGTGAGAACGGGAGTACAGACCATACTAAAGCACAAGCTCTATGTAAATAAGCAAATTTTGTTATGCTGCCACTAACAGGACGTTTCATAATTCGTAACCGTTGTAAAACGCCGGTTTCCGGAAACCGAAAAAACCGCATTATTTATATATGCTTGAATTGTGATAATAAAACCGAAATTAAACTAAACTAAACTTCATAAACTTTGTATTTTTGAAATCCATAAAAAAATTTCTGTAAATTCGGATCGGTTTACGAAGAACTCCTGGGTCTCTGGTTTCTTAAAAAACCCGGAAACATTAGGAAAAATCAATATAGGAGATAAAACTATTTAGAAAGGCCAGCTAGAAAAAAATAACGTAGTGGGATGGCTTGGAAAATCAAAGCCAGAATAAAAGGTGAGTCAGAAAAAGGTATGTAGGGGGAGTCAAAAGTAGAACACACTATTCTATCAATACTACCGTACCTCGACGAGAGCGGGCCGACGATGAACTTTGTAGCAATCGTGGTTAGTGCGTATGAGAATTTGTGTCTGGGTCAGGAACGGGAAAACGGGGCTTATATAGCCCCAGCTGTATACACGCTCGGAGAATTCGGGAAAACACGCCCCTAGTCTGGGTGGCGGGGGCGGGGTTGACGGGTCAAAATGTTGTTGTGTCGGAATGGCCCCTTCCATGGCCCCTTGTGCTCTTTGTCTCTGTTCCTCTCTCTCTCTCTCTCTCTCTCTCTCTCTCTCTCTCCCGATATCCCGCACTCTCTAGCCCCAGATCCCGTATGCAAATGCCGAGGATGTACGCAGTGCGACCAAAGACCGCTTTTTCGGGTCCTGGTTCAGGATATTTGGATAGATCAGAGATCGCTAAGGGACCTTGGACCTTGCCCCGCTTTTTGAGGGTTCTTGTGCCTATCTGGATGGTGGAAAAGCCCTAAAATGCCTGAAAACAACCGATTTTGAGGCTTCAAGTTTTCCCTGGGTTGGCTGGATGCTAATCCTCTTGAATGGATTGTAAATAAAGTGCTTTTGGCTTTACTAACGTCCAAAATCTAATCTTTAAATATTTTTACCCTTAAAATGCCATTTTTACCCTTAAAAACCATTTTTACCCTTAAGATTTAGAAATTGAAAAGTCGAATAGAAAACTGTCATTTCTAAGAAATTCAGAAAAGACGCAGAGAAATCAATGAAGAAATCAAGATTTGACCAATCGCCCGATGAATCGCCTGCCAGATGATTCGTAAAGTGGAACGAAAAGTCCTGTGATCCTGTGATTCCTTCCTGAGTGACCATCTGGCCGCTGAGTCATTGCTTTTCCTCAGAGGGATGCAATTCGGAAACACGCCAATGCCAGCTCATTTTGCTTACAGGCTTCTGTCAAAAAGACGAAGAAAGGGAGGAGAAAGACGACACAAAAAAGTGCGCTTGGACTTTAGGACTGAGTTTTAGAATTTTAAGCGGCTTTTACACGTTTCTTTGCTTTCAAAGTCAACAAAACATGATTTTTTTTAACCGTTTTAATAGAAAAAACGTTTAGAAAAGCAAAAAACGCGCCAAAAGTCATTTTAGGGAGCGTTAAAAAGGTGATCCCTGAATCGTAAGCATACGAGGGAATTTTCTAAAAATGCTAGCAATTGTTAGAAACCATTCTTAGAAATTTAGAATTTGTTTAAAGTGGACAAGCTAGCAGGAATAATTTAGAAAAAGCAAAAATATCCGCGTTTCAGACCCGAAAATGAGAAGCAGGCTGGCAAAGATCCTTCAGGACCCACCAAATTTGAATAGGTAAGCTAGCAGTGGAAATTAAAAAACGAAAAAATTAAGATTCCAAATGCCAGTTTACCAAAGCAAGAAGGCAGTTTACCAAAGATTTTCAACAAGGAGCAAAGATTATCAGGAATACTCGAGTTGGAAAAAG